CGCCATTTTGATCCCTTATTACGTGTTGCCTACATCTTGGCGCAATATTTTTAATGCCAACTCCGGATGAAGCACCAACCAAATCTAAAAAGCCCAGAAAACCTGCTTTGAACAGTAGAGCCCAAGTTGTCACAAGAAACCTATTTAATAAAGAAAACAAAACTAGAGACTCATTTACAAATATAAAAAAAAAATCGAAAATATCGAGAGCACCAAAACCACAAGGTAAAATTTTAAAGGAGTCCTGGTATTGTAAACTCTGCCGGTAGGATAGAGAAATCGATATGCGCTTATGTATTAAATGCAAGGATTATGCATGATAAGTGCATTGGAATCACCAAAAACGATGTCGTAGAGATTTTTATATGTCCAGATTTTGAATGAAAATTTGATTTTTATAAATAAAAAATCTGTTTTTGCAATCACCCTGTATTGATCCATCATAATAAATTTATTTTTTGGACTTGCGTTATTATTTTGACCTTTTAATTAAATTATTCCCGAATAACATTCATTACATTAACAATATTTTGTATGGCCATATTGCCATACACCTGGTTGGCAATATGGCCAGTTGCACCTATTTTTTGTAGTACTTATATTTTTGTAATGGTTAATACGGTTGACTTTTAATTACTTACAATATCTGCCCAATAATGTACTTTATACTATAACTTATCCAAAATTTTGGACAGTTCAAATATCATGATGTAAAAAAATAAAACGTCTTGGCTGCATATACCTTAGATATAGATGACGGTAGGGGTCAATGAGCGCGGGTTTTTTAAAATCGGCCATTCTAATAAACCAGTACTAAATTCTTCAAAATTATAATTTTTCGTTCTTTTTCACTTAAATTAATTCAAACATTTTATTCTTCACTCGACATACTTAGATGGATATAATCCATTGGATTGTGTTCTGTGATAGATAAAAATTTGAAAGGCGGCTATGGGGAGCTATGCCCCCTCCCTCCGAGATGAAAATTCTAACGATTTATGGGCCTTTATTCAAATATGCTAAAAAGGGAATATCTAAAGGCAATGCCCTCCCCTCCTCGAAAATTCGTCTTGGAGCCGCCCTTGGGATATGACATCTGTCTTCCACGTGAGAGGCCTGGGTTCGAATCTGGCCGGCAGAATAAAATTAAATCTTTTTTTTTCATGTTTATTTCATTTGATAAATTAGTAAAAGTCATCAATTATTTTAAAATTAGTTATTTTGTCTTAATAACCTAAAATAATTTATAAATTTGTAGATCTTCGTTATAGCGGGTCGTAGAAAAAATACTGTACAACTCGAGTGAATTGTCCATATCCACCTTTGGTGTACAAACTACTATTAACCATACAATTTTGAACTTGAACTGATTTTTGTTATCTTAGTAGGTTAAAATTTAAATTATGAAAATTAATTAAATAATTTTTATGCATGATTCTATTTTTAGACATGCAAATCAGTCCAATACATATTTACAGATTCGTACATGCAATTTTTAGGCACATTTTCAAACGCCCTGTATGCACATGTTTTAAACCTTGTCTTGTTTTAATTTTATTATTTTTGACAGTTTTTGTCAGAAATTAGGACGAAACCTATCGATTTTTTGTAATTTTCTTTAAATACCCATATCTACGCTATTCTTAAAATTACAGGGGGTGGTAAATATTTTTATTCATCGCTGTCATTTTGTTTTTTGTTCCTTGTAAAATCTGGAGGTTACAATTTAATAAATTCCAGTATTTTTTCGAGTATCTGCGCCTACCCAATATCTACTTTCAAAGTTGAAGAAAATAATTACAAGTAATAATAATTAAAATTATTTATTATGTTTAAAATTAACATTGGTGTTATTTGAATCTGAATGACAAAAACATACCTATGTTAATTATATATCATCGGGAAGGTATTGTGTTTACCATTTCCTGCATTTTAAAAACTAAAGCACTACTGTCTCTTTATTCAAGCATGAACTTATAAAATTTTAGTATTTACGATCCATATAAAAAGTTTCTTCACGTTTATTAAAAGTCCCATTCGAGATTACGAAAGCACTTCGAGATTTTTTCACTTTTAACGATACCCGTACGGATTTTTTTAGATTGACAATAGTTACAGATGATTATAATTTAATAATATCTTTGGGCAGTTGCATTATTGCAAATATAAACTGTTATAATAATAAATGAATGTTGACATATTACTTTCTCTATTGCATTCAGAAATGGTGAACGAAGAAAAGCTTTGAACCTTTAGTTCTGTCGACGAGGATATCCATTTCTATTTATTAAAAACGTCTATTCTTTTTAGATTGTAGATATAACCAATTCGGTTTTTATTTAGCACTCAATTGTCTATTCGTCATTATTTTAGCATTAACAAGCGAGTTAAGAATCTTTCAAATCCTCTCTGAACCAGCAGTAATTGTAAAATCGTCAGAATCCAAGATTATTGTCAATGTGCATGACAACAGCGCATCGTCCCATCTTAAAATTCACAAGTTATCAAAGAAATAAAAAAAAAACAACTCCAAAATCGTACAGATGCCACTACAAATTGAGTTTTTTTTTATTTTCTCGTGGATCCAATTATTAGATTTTAACCAAATGTATATGGAACCAACCCTCAAATACCCCCTTTCTAACAAAAAAAGAATCATAGAAATCGGACAAGGTGGTAAAGAATTATCGCTGAACATAAATAAACACTATAAAACTTACTACAATAGGTAATTGAAATACCCAAAAGAAATATCCGACTTTTATAACACAAAAACAACCAAACAAGTATGTACTTGTCCGGGATAATCACTAAATAATTACAAAAATACTAAACTCTCAAATCAACTAACAGAGCATGCAGGACGCTGACGGGCTAGGCGGTCCAGTCCTGATAATTAATGTACATGAGGCGAGTTCGGTCAGTCAGGGGCTGGAGCGGGACAAATTTTAGGGTGCTTTTAAATGACATTTAAGCGTGTTAAACTGTCACTAATCGGACTAAACCCACAAAGCATGTATCTTCTAGAGACCCCACGCCAATGTTAAACTTTTAAACCAAATTAGCGCCACCTTGTGTTTGGAGCTGGAACTAAAATGACAATTGACAGATGGCGGTAAATTCAAATTGTAATTTTTAGGAGTAGGTAGTAGTTTTAAATTAAATTTTAAATGATTTCCACATAAATTATTTTATAAAATAAAGTATGGAACTAGTAAGTTCGAAACTTTTATTTTACAAAATAATTTAGGTCGATTATACCAAATTTGAAGAATTAATTTGTTATAAGGGGTCTAATGTGGAGAGTTGGTTCTGCATATTTTTATTAAATAAATATAAGATATATCAATAAATAATAAAATAGAACATTCTTAAAAACTGTTTATTAATAAATTAAATAAATATTATTAGATAAAAATAAATACAAATAATAATACATATTTAACGAATACTTACTTGGAGCAAATAGATATATAATCTCAAATCTTTAAAATACCTATCAATAATGTAAATGTGAAGTAGAGACTAGGATATTACATTTTATTAACACTAAAGTTATATAAATGTCTTTTTAACTGAGGACAAATGTAATATAGGTATTGTATTAAAAAGTGAATCCTTTTAACTATTCATTCAATGATAAATAGGTATTTTCCTTCCAAATACAGATGGTGATACAGATTTCGGAATCTAGTCCAGTGATAAATTGATTATCAATTAGTTGTTGTCCCCGTTTGTCTTTTTATGATGCAGATGCATGGTGAATATATGGTGAATCAATGAAGTTTTCAACGTAGCACCAAAATTATTGCAAAACACAGTAGGAAATAAAAAAGCGAAACATCACAATTTTGCAAATAACTAAGACGAAACTATAAACAGTAACCAAAAGCCAAAGCCAACAAAAAATCACTAAAATCAGACGGAAAAATGAAACTAACCAAGAACATAAATAAATACACGTCACATCTTTGGAGTCTTTGGTTTTTTCTCCCATAAGGCTTAAAAATGGAGTAAGAAATCATAATTTCACCAGTAGCCCCATCTAGAGTTTGGAGCAAATAGCATAAAAAATGTCAGTTGTCGGTTTTGACCTTGGTCATTCACGTGGAACCTCTATGTGCTTTGTGACTAAACCTAACGCTAAAAGGGTCGTTTGGAGTTAAAAGTGTTAAAGGAGTTAAATGAACTTGGCAGACCGAACGCAATGTATATGTACATATTTGTAATTTTCTCCAAATATTCCGTACAGCGCATGCGTTATATTTCCTCTAAACATCGCACAATTGTGCCCTTTTTTTATTAGATCGGCAGGATTTTGTATCGTTTCGCTGCATTAAACAGATTCAATTAAATGAATAAAAAAATACAAACGTCGTTTCACAATATATTCTTCCTTTTAATGTTAAAATAGTTAAAAATCTTCAAGTGGATATCTGCCTTGCTTTGAACGCAAGAAATCGCATTACATCATGTTATCAGTTTACTTTCTAACATTCAATCAGAGCTGTTTAACGTTTAACACAATTAATTACAAAAAAAATGAACAGTAGGTACAATTTAACGATCTGATTTACTAATATTATTGCCTACATAATCGATTTTGTTGGACAGGAAGAGAACAAAAATAGTGTTTATTAGATCAAAAGTTAAACTACCCTAATGATCCTTTACTTTTGCAGAAACACATTAAAATAAATTATTAATAACACACTAAAATAAATTATTAATAACACATTAAAATAAATTATTAATGGTAACATTTGTAAAATTAAAATAAGTGCTACTTTTTTGTCTATAAAATGTCATTTAAAAACGCTACCCTTATTTTAAGTATGCAAAATTATTCTTTATTTAAAATTCGACACAACCCACACAACCTCAGAACACAACCCTGATCTATATGCAACCAACATTACAATCATCCGTTTCGTTTTTGTACTTGTGCTGCCATCTAATTTCCAAAATTCTAGTTAAAATTAAAAATAATAAAAATAACCTGAAACCTGTTAAGTGTTTGACATCTTGTCAATTTAAATAACAAACATTAAAATTTACAATAAAAAATATTAATTTTATTACAAATATGTAAACATTATCTAGTATTCTTTATTTAAAATAGTTCAGCGGCTTATTATAATAAAAATGGGCATAGATTTCGACATTTTAGAGCATTGCAAAAAGGTAAGAGCCGACCACGGTCCTCCGTATACTTGCCCCATAGAAAAATGTGGAAGAACCTACAAATCAGTTTGTGGATTATCCTACCATCTAAAGAGCTTCGACCACGACAATCCCAGTCCTTCACCTGCAGGACAGAATACCCCGAAAAATAAAAAAGGTAAGTAACAAACATTTTAAATACACCACACAGAAGAAAGTGTTTTTTTGTATTAAAAGGTAACCGGCAAAAATCAAAATCTAAAGTACCGCAAACTCCCAGCGCCCCTGAACCTTTAACCTTCGAAGAAGCTCAAAAGATGGTTCAGTTCGAGGTAGATGGAGTGGCTTGTAGGTGGAACATTAATGATGAATTGGAGGTTATGTCTAAGGACGATTTTATAGACGATGAGGCTAAACTTAGCGATGTAAAACCCGAAGAAGCCAGGATTAAGTTACCTGAAGCACATTACAGAGAGTTGCAAGATTATAATATTTGCGATGCGCCTGCAAGACCTATTGGATATATTCGCTTTATTGAGAAGAGCACAGAAGAGTTAGATGGAGAGGTATTTATCAGATTTATGGTAGAAGAGTTTATTTAATTTATTTTTAGGTGTTACTCTACTTTTTGCTCAATTTGTACATTTTTTACAGGTAGAATATGATGTTGATGAAGAAGACACAGCCTGGTTGTCTATTATGAATGAAAGAAGGGATGCCCAAGGCTTAGCGCCTGTTTCCATTGATTCTTTGGAATTGCTTATGGATAGGCTCGAGAAAGAATCATATTTTCAGGTAATTATTCTCACATTATTTATCATTTTCAAAAATCTGTAGGTAATTCTGGAATTGAAAATGTAGTAATAATAATTCTTTGTGAATAAAATAAAATACAAAACTTTTACATCTAAAACTAACACTAAAAAATATACAATTAGGAAAAGATTTTACTTAAAACATGGTGTGGTATTCACATAAAAACATGATTCTACTATATAAGTATTGAAATTTATTTTTAACTTTACTTTTGAGAGTTTATAGTTTATTCAAAGTAAATTTGATTATTTCAAACTGACGAAAAATATTCAAAGAGTGAATGTATGCAAAGTAATTTTTTAAAACCTATAAATACTATTTCGCTGATTTCAAAAAAATTGTTTAAATATACCCTTCTTAAATTCTACATGTCATTTTTGAAACATCTAAATGTTTATAGCCAATTTTAAGAAAATAGTTCAGATGTACCATTCATAAATTCAACCATAATATTGTCAAGAAACGTACTCTTCATTAATTTTTTGAGGGCTTCATGTTTTAGCCAAATTTTAGAAAATAGTTCAAATGTAACATTCATAAATCCAATCAGTCATGTGTAATGTTCACCAAAAATGTATTTGAAGTACTTTAGTACTTTTTGACATTTCTTAAATGTTTCTTTAGGTAATTTTATGAAAGTATTTTAAATGTACTATTCATAAATTGTAATGTTCTTAATAATCGTACTCATCACAAATTTTTTAAAACATGTGTTTTATAGTAAATTTTAAAAAAATAGTTCAAATGTACCATTTGTAAATTCAATCAGATGCATGCATTAGTCAATTTTAAAAAATTAGTTCAAATGTACCATTCTTAAATTCAACTAAATACGTGTAATATTCTCAAGAAACGAACTCGTCAGTAATTTGTTGAAACCTCTAAACGTTTTACCCACAAATGTATTTAAATTTAAAGCACTTTTTGATACAACTGTTTTTTGGGTAATTTTATGAAAGTAGTTCAAATGTATCATTCATTAATTCAACAAAATACATATAATAATCTCAAGAAACATACTGGTCAGTATTTTTTGAAACCTCTACTTGTTTTATAGCTAATTAAAAAAATAGTTCAAATGTACCGTTCGTAAATTCAATCAGATGCGTATAAGGTTCACCACAAATATATTTAAAGTACTTGTTAATGCTTCCTAAATGCTTTTTAGTCAATTTTAAGAAAATAGTTCAAATGTATCATTCGTAAATTCAATCAATCAGCCGTGTATTCATGTTCACTACAAATTTAAAGTACTTTTTACCGCTTGTTAAATGTTATTGGTTATTTTATGACAGTAGTTCAAATATACCTTTCATAAATTCAACCAAATATGTGTACCTAATAATCTCAAGAAACATACAGTTATTTTTTGAAACCTTTATATATTTTACTGCTAATTTATTAAAAATAGTTCAAATGTACCATTCCATTAGACGCGTATTAATGTTTACCTCAAATGTATTTGAAGTACTTTCTGTGACTTCTTAAATGTTTTTGGACAATTTTATAAAAGTAGTTCAAATGTACTATTCTTAACGTCAACTAAATACGTGTAATATTCTCAAGAAACGTACTCGTCAGTAATTTTTTGAAACCTCTAAATGTTTAACCCACAATTTTAAAGAAATAGTTCAATTGTACTATTCGTAAATTCAATCATGTGTATTAATGTTCATCACAAATGTATTTAAAGTACTTTTGACACATAACTGTTTTTTGGTAATTTTATGAAAGTAGTTCAAATGTACCATTCATTAATTCAACAAAATATGTGTAATAATCTCATATACTATTTTTTGAAATCTCTACATGTTTTATAGCTAATTTAAAAAAATAGTTCAAATGTACCGATCGTAAATTCAATCAGATGCGTGTAATGTTCACCACAAATATATTTAAAGTACTTGTTAAGACTTTCTAAATGCTTTTTAGTCAATTTCAAGAAATTAGTTCAAATGTACCGTTCTTAAATTCAACCAAGTACGTGTAATATTCCCAAGAAGCATACTAGTCAGTAATTTTTTGAAACCTCTAAATGTTTTAATCACAATTTTAAGAAAATAGTTCAAAAGCATCATTTGTAAATTCAATAGCTGTGCATTCATGTTAACCACAAATTTACTTTTTACCTCTTGTTAAATGTTATTAGGTTCTTTTATCAAGGTAGTTCAAATGTACCTTTCATAAATTCAACCAAATATATGTACCTAATAAGACAGTTATTTTTTGAAATCTCAAAATGTTTTACTGCTAATGTATTGAAAATAGTTCACATGTACCTTTCGTACATTCCATTAGACGCAATTTTATGAACGTAGCTCAAATGTACCATTCATAAATTCAACCAAATATGTACTATTCTCAAGAAACATACTCGTCAGTAATTTTTTGAAACCTCTTAATGCTTTACTGTCAATTTTATGAAAATAGTTCAAATGTACCATTCGTACATTCCATCATACGCATGCTAATGTTTACAACAAATATGTTTGAAGTACTTTTTGTCACTTTTTAGATGTTTTTTGTAGGTAATTTTATGAAAGTAGTTCAAATGCACCTTTCAAAAATTCAACCAAATACGTGTAATATTCTCGAGAAACTACTCGTCAGTAATTCTTTAAAATCTATATGTGTTTTATAGCCAATTTGAAGAAAATAGTTCAAATGTACCATTCATAAATTCAATCAGTCGCATATAAGGTTCGCCACAAATGTATTTAAAATACTTTTTAAGACTTCTTAAATACTTTTTAGTAAATTTTAAAAAATTAGTTTGTGTACTTACCATTTTTAAATTTTACCAAATACGTATAATTTTCTCAAGAAACGTACTCGTCCGTAATTTTTTGAAAACCAAATGTGTAGCCAATATTTTTATGAAAGTAGTTCAAATATACCATTCATACTTTCAACCAAATACATTGATATTCTCCAAGAAACATACTTGTCAGTACTTATTAACTTATTAAAACTTTTTAAGAAAGTAGTTCAAATGTTCCAATCATAAATTCAACCAAACACAATTTTCTCAAGAAAAGTTATTGTCAGTAATTATTTTGAAACTTTTAAAGCTTTATAGCCAATTTTAATAAAATAGTTCAAATTTACCATTTGTAAATACAATCATACGTATGTTATGTTTACCACAAATGTATTTAAAGCACTTTTTGAAACTTCTTAAATGCTTTTTAATCCATTTTAAGAATGTAGTTCAAATGTGCTGTTCATAAATTCAACCAGATACGTGTAATATTTTCAAGAAATGTACACGTAAGTAAATTTTCACGCCTCTAAATGCTTTATAGCAAATTAAAAAAAAATAGTGCTTATGTACCATTCATAACTTCAATCACACGCATATTGTGTATCACAAATGAAAGTACTTTTTGAAATATCTTAAATGCTTTTTAGTCCAATTTAAGTACTTCGAAAATACCATTCATACATTCCACCAGAAACATATATAATATCCATAAGAAAATAGTTCAAATATACCATTCATGAATTCAATCACAAGCTTTTATGTTCACCACACATGTATTAAAGTAATAGTTCAAATGAACCTTTTTAAATTCAGTTGTACGCCTGTTATGTTCACCACAAATGTATACTTTTTGAAATATCTTAAATGTTTTCTAGTAAATTTTGTGAAAATAGTTCAAATATACCATTCTTAAGATTCAATTAACTCCCTTATTAATTCCCAAAAAATCGCAGAAAATAGTTCAAATGTACAATTCATGAATTCATTCAAGCACTTGTAATATTTTCAAGAAAAGTACTTGTTAGGTATTTTTGAAATCTCCAAATACTTGTTAGTCAATTTTGAGAAAATAGTTGGATTATACTATTTTAAATTCAATCAGCTCCCTTAATAATTGGCGAAAAAAATCGCAAAGCAATTTTTGTTTTAATTTTAAGTAAATAGTTCAAATGTACCCTTCGTGATCCGTGGAAACACCCTGTATATTTTTGAAATCTTTAGGCATCTGTAAACGGTCATTCCGGAGCTGTCGTAGACGACGACGCAGTTTGCTGCATTTGTATGGATGGAGAATGTCAAAATACAAACGTCATTCTATTTTGTGACATGTGCAACTTGGCCGTACACCAAGATTGCTACGGAGTGCCATATATACCAGAAGGGCAGTGGTTATGCAGGAGGTAAGCGTTCTAAATAGCATGTCAAATATAAGCAACACCTGTTAATTGTCTGTCAGTGTCAAAATTTGTTAAAATAAAAATGGTTTTTAAAGTGTTTATAATCGCCTAGTAAAGAATGTCAAACGTCAAATATAAGTGCTATCTGTTAATTATCTTTTAATTTCAAAATTTGTAAATAAACTCGCTAATAGAGCAGTGTCAAACGTCAAATATAAGTGATATCTGTTAATTATTTGTCAATTTTAAAATTTGTAATTAAACTCGTTTTTAAAGTGTTTATCGCCTAGTAGGGCAGTGTCAAACGTCAAATATAAGTACCACACCTGTTAATTATCTATCAATGTCAAAATCTGTTAAAAAAAAACTCCTTTTTAAGGTGTTTGCAATCGCCTAGTAGAGCAGTGGATTGCGTGCTGTGTCCAAACAAGGGCGGGGCCTTTAAACAGACTGACAGGAGTACTTGGGCGCATGTGGTATGCGCTTTGTGGATACCGGAAGTCAGATTCGCTAATACAGTCTTTTTGGAGCCCATCGGTAGGTATTTTATAACAGTTTCGAAAGTTTTCTTCACGAATTGCCCTTTCAGATTCGATAGAGACCATCCCGGCAGCCCGGTGGAGGTTGACTTGTTACATTTGCAAGCAAAAAGGCGTGGGGGCTTGTATACAGTGCCACAAAACGAGTTGCTATTCGGCTTTTCATGTGACTTGCGCGCAACAGGCCGGTTTATACATGAACATGGATACAGTGAAGGACGGCAGTGAATCGCAGCCCGTGCTCGTGCAGAAAATAGCCTATTGCGACACGCACGCCCCCACGGAAAATGGTAAAAATAAAAAAATCAAAGAAGGTTCGTTTTTTTTTTTTGATCGTCGGTAAAAGTAAAATTTTTTGTAAATTAATACAGTTTTGACAAAGATTTTCAAATAATATTCCAGGAGATGCGAAAAAGGACGAATCTCGCAAAAAAATGATCCAAGCCCGTAAAATGTTGGCGAAAAAACGCACTTCGGCCCCCGTTATCCTCATTCCAACCATTCCCCCGGAACGCATCCAAGAGATCGGTTCTTTGGTAACCATTGCGAAAAAATCGCAATTCATCCAACGCCTCATAGCCTACTGGACGCTGAAGCGGCAATTCCGGAATGGGGTTCCTCTGTTACGTCGATTGCAAAGCGCCCAAGGGGGCACCCCCAGGGATTCTAACACCAGCAACGTGGACACATTAGAGCTGTGCAGACAGCTCAAGTATTGGCAGTGTCTGCGACAAGACCTGGAAAGAGCCAGGCTGCTTTGCGAGCTGGTCAGGAAGAGGGAGAAAATCAAGTTGGAGTACACCAGGGTGTCCGAAAAGCTGATGAGGATAAAGTTGAAGCCTCTGGAAGCTAGTTTGAAAAATGTGTTGGATCTGATCCAGGCTAAGGATATCAACGAGATTTTTACCGAACCTGTAGATTTGGAAGAGGTAAGCACCTGATTGCGTGGATGGAAAAATCATTATTAAAATATATTTTTAAAGGTACCGGACTATCTGACCGTTGTGACTGAACCAATGGATCTCAGTACCATGAGGAAGAAACTGGATTCGGGCGAATATCCCAATCTCGTAGCTATGGAAAAAGATTTTGATCTAATGATTTCTAATTGTTTGGCTTATAACAATAAGGACACCGTGTTTTATCGGTAAGTGACTCATTTTTTGCCAGTTCTATTACAATATTAATAACAATAGCTTTATTGCCCAACAGTTTGACCCATTTACAGGGCGATACAAATAAATGTTTCAATAATAATAATAAAATAATTAAAATAGTTAAATATCCTCATAAAATAATAAATAAATAAAATAAGGAGAAATTTTGTCATAGAAAATATCTACGCACCTACTTAAGATTATAATTATTCTATTTATAATAATTACAGAATGGAAATGTTATTAAAATTGTTGCACATGTAAAACATATCATTGGTACAATGCCAAAACCACCAATGTGAAAATTTTCAGTTTTAAGAATGTAGTACCTGCCTTAGGTATTGAAGCAACTACTAAATTTTCACTTTTTAAAAATAGACAGAGGGCAGTTAAATTCTCATGGCACATTCGATAACGTTGGTATTGATAACTAAAGCCCTTAGGCGAAAATGCAAATTTGCAATTATCGTGGTTTTGGCATTGCACCGACGATATATTAGTTCTAGTTCTGATGAGTCTGAAAGATACCTGAGCCCGAGATCTAGTATTAAAAGAAGTTACTGTTGAGGCAATGAATCGATATAAATTGCTTTTATAAGTTCTATAATAAATTAATAATTATGCAGACTTTTTATTTTGACATACATCAAATCAATCATCAAAAATTAACGACTATACCGACTTATATATTTTAAATAATTATGTACCTGCTACTCTTACTTTAGCTCGTATTCCAGCAGGTACATCAAAATTTATTTGGTCCAGCAATTCTAAGAAAAACAATAAAATGTCCGTTTCCCCTTTTTAATAAAAAAATATTGAGTTAACCTTGTAAACTTATTTTTCACGAGGACTGTGGAATAATTTTTGACCATGGTTTATCAAAAAGATTCAAAATAAAATGAACATAACATTTAAAATATAAAAATATTGAGCTCGCCTTGCATACCTTAATATTATACACGAAACTCGAAATTATTTTACAGAAAAAAAATTTAATAATTAAAAATATTGATTGAACCTTATAAGCTTAATTTTATACGAAGATTTTGGAATAATTTCTTGTCCAAAATGTATAGTTTTCATTTTAGATTTAAAACAAAAAGGACAAGAAAAAATCAATTTCAAAAAATATTGATCTCTCCTTATAACTTCAATAATATAGGGGTTTCAATTTATTTGAATTATAGCTGGTTAATTTATAGTTAAATTTGATTTGTAAATATTTGTTTATGAGGCTTTCATTTAAATAATAATATATTTTTACAGAAAAAAAATTACAATTTCAAAAAATATTGAGTTAACCTTATAACCTTATTCGAAGATTGTGAAATAATTTCTTGTCATAGTTCATCAAAATTTATGGTTTTTATTACAGATTCAGAACAAAAGAACAATATTTTCAATTTCAAAAAATATTGACTTTGCCTTATAACTTCAATATTATATAAGGATCCCGCAATATATTTTTACCGGAAAAAGAACAAAAAGTATAATTTCAAAAAATATTAAGTTCACCTTATAAACGAGGATTATGAAATAATTTTTAAACTTGGTTCATTAAAATTTATGGAACAAGAAATTTAAAATATTGAGCTTGCCTTGTAACTTATACACGGAACTTTAAAAAAAAAAAGAAAATTTGAATTTCAATATTATATAAGGACCTCGCAATATTTTTTTCCAGGAATAAGAAAATTACAATTTCAAAAAATATTGAGTTTACCTTATAAACTAATTTTTATATGAGGATTGTGGAATAATTTATTGTCCATAGTTCATCAAAATTTGTGGTTTTCATTACAGATTCAGATTAAAAGAACAAAATTTTCAATTTCAAAAAATATTGACTTTGCCTTATAACTTCAATATTATATATATTTTTAAAGGAAAAATAACAAAAAGTATAATAGAACAAGAATTTCAATTTAATAAATATTAAGATATTGATTTAACCTTATAAACTTATTTTTATACGAGGATTGTGGAATAATTTTTGACCATCAAACTTTATAGTTTTCATTAAGTAGATGATTTATAAATATTCAGAACAAAATGAACAAGAAATTTAAAATTAAAAAATATTGAGCTTGCCTTGTAACTTTATTATTATACACGAAACTGGATGAAAAAAATTTAAATAATTAAAAAAAATGAGTTAACCTTATAACCTTGTTTTTATACGAAGGTCGTGGAATAATTACTTGTTCATAGATCATCAATATTTATTTTCCTTGCAGATTCAGAACAAAAGAACAAGAAATTACAATTTCAAAAAATATTGAGTTCGTCTTATAACTTCGATATTATACAACTTAGCCTAAAAGTCGCTTTACCGAAAACAATACAATTTAAGAAAAATTAAATTTTTTTGGACAAGGTTAACACTTTGAACATTTGTCGAAATAAATTATTTTTCGGCCATCCCGTATAAGGCTTTACAATATATTTTTACGGGAAAAAGAAAATTACAATTTCAAAAAATATTGAGTTCACCTTATAAACTTATTTTTATACGAGGACTGTATAATAATTTTTGACCATAGTCCATCCAACTTTTTTTCTATTAGATGATTATATTACAGGGTTGGACAAAATGAGCGAAACACCTATTTTATGGCTTAATTATGACCGATACGTAATTTTGACATGAATAAAAGTTTTTATATATTTTATGTACAATTTGGTGGTGTTTGAATATTTTCCGTTTATGTCATATTTTATGCAAGGATTGTGAAATAATTTTTTGACCATAGTTCATCGAAATTTGTTAGATTCAGAACAAAGTGAACAAGCAATTTCAAATTCAAAAATATTGAGTTCTTAATATATTTTTTACAGGAAAAATAAAATTTCAAAAAAATATTGAGTTAATTATAATAATTATTAAACCATATTTTTATAGTTTACTGAAAACATCGTGATCTGTGATCGAAGATCTTTGAAGAGTATGTATAAATAACATCAAGCATCAAAAATCTCATTAATAAATTGAGTTACAATAGCTAGATTGATAACTGTTAAATGATTAGCATTAAATCCATGCTGAAACTCTGACAGTTGATTATAAAATAATGAGTAAATCAAAAAGTCATGAAGACCTTAGAAAAGTTAGCTAATATTGATATTGGTCGATAATTTTTAATTTTATTTTTGTCGCCACTTTTGATTGATTTTATTTTAATAAAATATATGTTGAAAACAATCATTAATGGTTTAATAACTACACCTGAACAATCTTCTACTAGAAATAAAGACTATAAAGTATCGTTAAGATTATTAAATAGTTTAGTTAGTGCTAGTACTAGTTTTTGTTGAAAGTCTGTCGTAAATGGAGACAATAAGCGGCTCCAGAACCGATCCCTGAGTCACGGTCGTTTTTATATTATTTCAGCGCTGGGATAAAAATGCGGGATCAGTGCGGTGTGATATTTCGGCACGCCAAGAAAGAACTGGAAGCTGCCGGACTACTTCCATCCGAAAGGGAGTCGATGAAAAAGTCTTCGACGGGGCCAGTCGAAGAATCTTTAGCGTCTGACATCGACAAGGAATTAGAGAGTTTGCAGGTAATTTTGAAACGAAAATTTTAATAATCAAGTCTAATGAACTAATTTCTATGTTAAGTGAGTCAAATTTAATTATCTCTGAGAATAACAATAACTGTTTTAAATCACGCACATTACTCCAATAATATATTTTTGCTAGTTTGACCAAAAAGTATATTTGACATCTTTCTTTGGGTCATTCGCATTGCTAGTCGTTAAGAAATAAGCCAAGCTTAAACTGACATTTTTTTCCATTAAAAATTATGTTAATAATCAAACTTGGGATGAAAAATGAAAAAAAATCTCATTCCACTGGAAAATATTATTTGTATCAAAGCAAAACTAAACAACACATTTAAAAGTATTAAAATAAATAATTATTATTACCTCTGGTACACAAATCGCTGCTCAAAACTTTACAAATAGGGAATAGAGTAGCGAAGAACTGTTTCTACTAGTGCCGCCTTTTAGCAAGAGTTTCGGGCAGCAGCATTTATTTTTTCCATCAAAAATGTAATATTAAGCTTTACATATTTCTTAACAACTATGGTGCGATTGGACTTTAGTTTCTTAAATAACAAGGACTCGTCAAGTTCTATTGATTTGAGAAATTCCAAAAGATCGAACAGATTTACGAATCCAATGTTAATCGAACTCACTGGGACCAACGAAAACATTCGTAAATTGCATTTTTTTCACCAAACCTATTAAATGTATCGTTTCATAGACGAATATTTAGAAATTTGACTCTCCGATTGGTATTTTGTTCGTTAAAATACATTTTTTTAAGGGTAAAGTTGGTCCAGAGGTGATATTGAAGCTGGAAGACCTGCTGGCGAAGAGCCAAGCTTTGAAACACGGTTTGGCAAGGGCCAAACGTGTAAAACTAATCAGGAGCGAAATGAATAGAGTCAAAAAGAGTACGGTCGCTCAAAATGACACGGATCAAACGTCGCAGAGCGATATCGATATCGAAATTGCCGTCGATGACTCAAAAAACAATTTAACTAATGGTGAGATAAATATTTATAAATTATGTACTTTTTAAAATGTTTATAATGTTTTTACAGTTTCGCCGTCGGGTGTCAACAGAAGAACTGCCGTACTGTTTACGAAAAAGGCGCAAGCCGCTTTGAAAAAAGAAGACAAAGATAAAGAGGAGAAAGAGGTTTCTGGTTCTCCAACGAAATCGTAAGTTAAATTTTGACGTTTTTTCTTAATAAGATAATCCGTGGAACATATGTTAAATGTTTTCTAGCATATTTTAAGGAAAGTAGTTTAAATGTAACGTTTATAAATTCAATTAGAAGAGTTAAATAATCCAAAAACACTTTTTTAAACCTCTAAATGCTTTCTAGTGAGCTAACTTTAAGGAAAGTAGTTCAAATGTACCGTTCATAAATTCATTCAGACGCAAACGTGATGAATAACCCCATAACATTTTTTGAAACAGTTAAATGCGTTATAGTGAGTTTTAAGGGAAGTAGTTCAAATGTACCTTTTATAAATTCATTCATTTAATAATCTCAAAACATTTTTTAAAACCGCTAGGCAGTCTTAGATAAGTAGTTCAAATGTACCATGTGTAAATCCGACCATACGTAATATTCACAAACATCCTCAAAAGTATATTTTTATGATCTCTTAAGAGCGAACCGGACCTCTCGCGAAAGCAAAAATGTTTTAAGGATTTTCTAATCTAAAAATGTATTTACATACTGGGAATACTTCATATTATGTGTCTTGACAATATTAATAGCTTTAAATTTGTGCAACGATAAAGTAGCATTATACAGAGATACGTTTAAGAAAAAAAAGGTGGGAAAGCATTTCATTTAAAAATTACTAGATATTTATCAAAACAAAAAGCAGCAAATTTTTATAGCTTTAATACAGAATGGAGCGTTTTTTTTTATTCCCTTCAAAATTTTTCAAAATTAATACTGTTCAAAGGTTTACAAAAAAAATCAAAGTTTCTCCACCCTAAGTTTTATTATTATTTCCTGAAAATTTCGCAAAAATCAGATTAAAAATAAAGGCTCAGAATGAATTATAAATTTACAAGGTGTTTGGTTTGCTCTTAAGGCTTTTTAGTCGGTGTTCAAAGAGTAGTTCAAATGCATCATTCGTAAATTTAGCCAGGAAACGTTTCTACTGGTAAATCGTTGTTGTTTTCATAGGAGAAAGAAGAGTAAAACGCCCTCGTCGTCTGCCAATAAGGAACAAAAAGACAAAGAAGCTGTGCCTGACAGCTTCAAAGTGTATCGCGCCGGCAACCAATCGACTGACGAGGAAAACTCTGACAGTGACAACAGCTTGTCGACGTGCTATTCCCATAGTCTGTCAGAAATTGCATCTGATGATGATAGTAAGTGTTCCAGGATTAATTAAAAACAAATTTTATCTTAAAAAATGGTATATTCTGGTTTATTAGACAATAATAATTATTGTTTTGTCAACAGGTGAATGTTCTGAAAGCACAGCTCATTCTGCTACAGATGGTCATAATATCGAAAAGGACCTCAAACCCATGCAGCTGGTATGGGCGAAATGCAGAGGATACCCATGGTATCCGGCATTAATAATCGACCGCGATATACCCAAAGGTAAGTTAAACCCATGAAACAATTCGATTTTTTTTTGGCCTTCATGTTCTAAAATTTCATATTTCTAAAACAGTAATCTATTTTTCATACCTGTTTTTTGTTCTTTTTTCGTTCTTTTTTTTGTTCCTTTTATTCTGTCCCTTTTTTTTTGTTCCATTTTTTCCATCCTTTTTTTTTTCGTTCTTTTCCGTTTTTTTTTTTTGTTTAATTTTTCATTACTTTTTTACGTTCCTTTTTGTTTTTTTTTTTTGTTCATTCCTTATTTAACTTTTTTTCGTTTTTTTGTCAAGTTTTAGATCCTTTTTTTGGGTTCTTCTTTATTACTTTTTTTTACATTCCTTGTTTTTTTTTTTTTCATTCTTTTCCATCCCTTTTTTGTTCCTTTTTTTATTTCTTTGTTTTTTCTTTCCTTTTTGTCCCTTTTTTGTTCATTTTTCGTTTTTTTTTTATTTTTGTCCACATTTTTGTTCTTTTGTTCGTTCCATTTTCTTTTTTGACCCTTTTTTCGTTTCTTTTGTTCGTTTCTCTTTTCATTCCGTTTTCGTTTTTTCTATTCGTTCCTTTTTTTCATTTCTTTTCTTATTTCGTAATTTTTCGAGTTTTTGTCCTTATTTCTCGTTCTTTTGTTTTTGGTTCTTTTTCATTCCTCCTTTTTACGTTTCTTCTTTTTTTCTTTTCTCTTATTTCGTTCCTCTTTTTTCGTTTCTTTTTTTTTGTTCCTTTTTGTTTATTTGTCCCTATTTTGTTTTTTTTTGTCGTTCCTTTTCTTTTTTCGTCCATTTATCGTTCTTTTTGTTCCTTGTTTTTCATTCCTTTTTCGTTTTTTATCCCTGGTTTCGTTTTTTTCATTCCTTCTTTCATTCCTTCTTTTTACGTTCCTCTTTTTTTTTTCGTTTCTTTTTTCATTCCTTTTTTCGTTCCTTCTTTTCTTTTTCGTCCATATTTCGTTTTTATTTTTTGTTCCTCGTTTTTCGTACCTTTTTCATTCCTTTTTACGGCTCTTTTTTCGCTCCTTTTTCGTAAAACAATTTTCTATTACTGGAATCATTAGTCGCTATTTTTGCAGGTTATGTCCCCATACCGTATCTGGCCCAGGAGGTGTTAGATTTAGCAATTTTTTGTTCGTTCCTTTTTCGTTTTTTTGTCCCTTTGTTCGTTCCTTTTTTCTTATTTTTGCCCTTATTTTTCGTTCCTTTTTTTCGGTTCTTTTTCATTCCTCCTTTTTACGTTCCTTCTTTTTCAGTTTCTTTCTTTTTTTTTTATTCCTTTTTTCTTTTTTGTTTCTTCGTTCGTTTTTTGCTCCTTTATGTTTATTTTTGTCCCTATTTTTGTTTATTTTGGTCGTTCCTTTTTTTTTTTTTTTTTTCATTCCTATTTTTGTTTTTTTTTGTTGTTCCTTTTATTTTTTCGTCCGTTTTTCGTGCTTTTCGTTCCTTGTTTGTCATTCCATCCTTTTCAGTTCCTTTTTTGTTTTTTGTCCCTGTTTTCGGTTTTTTCGTTCGTTCGTTCGTTCCTTTTTGAATTACTTTTTTTTTCGTTTCCTCTTTTCGTTTTTCGTAAATTTTTTTGTTTTTTCGGTCCTTTCTTCATTCCTTCTTTTTTCAGTTTCTCTTTTTCGTTTCCTTTTTTCGTTTCCTTTTTCCGTTTCTTTTTTTCGTTTCTTTTTCCGTTTCTTTTTCGTTTCCTTTTTCCGTTTCTTTTTTTCGTTTCTTTTTTTCGTTTCTTTTTTTCGTTTCTTTTTTCGTTCCTTTTTAATTCCTTTTTCGTTCTTTTTCATTCCTTCTTTTCTTTTTTCGTCCATATTTCTTACCTTTTTCATTCCTTCTTTTTCAGGTCCTTTTTTACAGCTCTATTTTCGTTCATTTTTTTTTTTTTTTTTTTTTCGTAAAACATTTTTCTATTACTGGCATAGTCATTAGTCGCTATTTTTTGCAGGTTATGTTTATAAAAGTGTGCCCATACCGTCTCCGCCGCAGGAGGTGTTAGATTTAGCAAAAAACCACACAGAACATGTATATCTGGTATTATTCTTCGATGTCAAACGTACTTGGCAATGGCTGCCAACTGAAAAACTGGAAATATTAGGATTGGACTCTGAGAGAGACGAATCCAAGGTTAGTACTGTTTCTGGATGTCTTATAACCTTACTTTTTTTTATTTTATATCTTTACATAATGAATTGTTTTTATAGGTGAACGAGCCCAAGAAACCGACTGATAGAAAAGCGGTGAGAAAAGCGTACGAAAATTCATTACAATATCAATCGCAAATCGCCGAGTTTGATGAAAACGGAGGGGCGTCTTAGGTGCCATTTTAAGTTTTAAAAAAAGCTTTATAGAATTAAGTAATAAAATGTATGTTTAGTATTTTAATTTTACACGTGACTTTTATAAACTTTTGAAGTTAAAATAAAAAGTCTTAAATTTTTTTCGTTTTTTTTTGTCTCGACGTTAGTTGGTTGCTGTCAAATCAGAGGTTCAATTTAATTTCTTCGGTTACAATATTTTTTAGTCTGTATTTAACATCAATCAGTGGTATAACACTCTTTCAAAAATAAATGCATTTTGGATTTTTTTAGATAGTACTTCAAATATACCGTTTGTTAATCCAACCAGACGCCTAATATTTTCAAGAAACATGTTCTCAGAATAATATTATTGTAATGCATATAAAAGCTTTTTAGTCGTGTTTCAAAGAGTAGTTCAAATGTCTCATTCATAAATTCAACGAGCAATTCATATTAATATTAACAATAATGAAATATTTCAGTTCATTTTTGAAATGTTTTAGGAGAGTAGTTCAAATGTACCATTCGTAAATTTTAGCAGTAGTGTCTGGTAATCATCATATATCACCAATATCATAATCAACTTTTGTCACAAACATGCTTCTCGTTGCGGCACTACTGAGCATGCGTATCGAGTCGTTTTCGGACGATGCTACGTCATTAAAGAGGGCTGAATTTATTTTCAATGTTGAAATTTTTTTTTGCTTAAATAATTCGGAGTTTTGATTTTCGGAAACGTATGATCTTTAATATAGTAGTTTGTGCAACAAAAGTGAATATGGGTGCCCAAAATATGAACTATGATTGGTGGATTTCATTATTTTGCAGTATTCTCACTATATAGAGTGGATATAAAATATATTCGTTCAGTTAATGGCAATAGTACTTTTTCGTTTTGTAATCTGTGCGTAGATAATGTCACGCTTCGTATAAATTCATATTTTTCCCAATTTTAATTACTTAAATAACATCCTGTACATAAAACTTTGTTTAAGTATGTCGATAATTTGTTTTGTCAGTTTGTCCGAAATGCGCAAGAATGATAAATTGACCGGAATTTTCAGGAAAATCATCAAACGTATTAAGGTATATAGAAACAGATCTTTAGGCCTGGAGTTTTAATATTTTGTCCGGATTTTTAAAGAAATGTCCGGATTTTTAAATAAATGTCCGAATTTTTAAATATTCAGATTTTTAAATATATATGTATAACCCAAAGTCAAACTTAAAAAGACACATACATACAAGTGGAAGTACTCACCTTTTCAATTCTTTTTTCAGTCCGGTAAGTCGGCACAGCAGAATACCTTAGTGCTATATAAAAAAGGCTTTTTTTTTTGGAAAAATAAAAACTAACAAGTCGAGTATTATGAAAATATAACATTTATTAGATAAATAAAAAACGTATTTTAAACATAATAAATAACAAACTCTGCATGTTGTGTTTTTTCAATGGTTTTTATTTAAATATTTAATTAATCATTTAAGGAAGAACGGCTTTTTTTTGTTATACATTGTGTTGAAAAGCGAAACGGCGTGAACGACGTATCGATTGTTTTCTCCTTAAACTAAATAACTAAGGACAAAGAAAACGAACACTTCTACTATTTATATATTATATAGGGAATTTTGGCAAATTACTAACAAAATAAATTTCATAAATCATTCAATATGAGTTAGGAAAGTCTTCAGCCGAACTAATTTTGAGCGTAATATCACATGGGACCTCTAACTGGACAGTAGAAATTTTTACGTAAACATTTTACCAGCAAAGTATTTATAAAAACAATTGAAACGTTTTGAAATTAAAAACATAATATATCAATAAATTAATAAAAAATAATAATAGGTCCAATCAGTTGAACACACAATACGAGGCCATCAGGTATAAAACCTGTATTACCGACGCAGCTAACTTCACACGTCAACGTTTAGCCAAGATTCGAACCAGCCGTAACTCAAGTCGTATTTTTTTCATTTGAAAAAAAAAAACGTAAAAATTTCTACTGATAGAGTTCTTCCTTTTAACTCAATGCATAATAAATATTATACTTATTTTCTTATACCTACATATTTTCATATTTTTTTTTGTTTTCAATAAAAAAATTCAATATCTACAATTTTTTTCATACAAGGCTATTGTTATTTAGACTATTTACACCTATTATAATAATTACGCAATAGAAACGTGGACCCCTGACGGAAAATTACCGCAAATTTTAATTTTTTAATATTAACTCGGCAGTGCAAAATTAGGGATTCGGGAAATTATTTTCCCGTTATATTTATGCAGAAAGTTCAGACTTAGAGGGAGCCACTGCATCAATTTGGTAAACAATGTAATATTTGGGTTTTAGTAGTGGGAAAATGGTGGGACAAAAGGAGCAGATCATTGACCTCGTAAATTTGCGCCAGGTCAACCAAGGTCAACATAATAAAATATTTAAGAATAAATGGATACCTAGAGAAAAAAACATATCAAATCTGTAACGGACAAATAGTGGACTAAAATACCGAGGACATGGAACAGTAGAAAGAAGAAGAGAAAATACGAGACACCTCGGATGTATCACATGGAAAGGTTTTTATGACAGGGAGGAGAAATAAAAAAACCGCGAAACTTTTCAATATTTCAAATTTATGAAAAATTAACAATAAATTTCAAAATTCTCTGTAGATTCGTTCAGAAAATTTTAAATTTTCCTACGATAAAGTGGTTTTTCAATAATTTTCCGTCGAAAACACCAACCATCAAATTTTGATTGAAATTTTCTCAGTGGAAGGTCGAAAAATTTTTTAATTTTTCTTTGGGGAAATTATTCAGCGAATACTTTTTTTGGCAGCTGATTTAGGGGTTTTGAAAGATCTTCTTTCGTTGGATGAACAATTTTACCGATACCTCAAACACATTTCTCAGGAAAATAAAACAAAAAATTGAGAAGGGAAAAACTCGACTTGAAAGAGTAGATAGAGCAAAAAACACTGAAGAGAATGATCCAGTTCGAAGAGACTTACAGTAAGCCACTACATTTTTTTGTTAAACAAGGCAATATTTGGGTTATAGTAGTAAGAAAATGGGAGGACAAAAGGAACAGGTCATTGACCCTGTAAACTTGCGAAATAAAAGATTTAAGTAAATTTATAGTAAGCGCGTTTAAAGATGGTATTTTATGGATGTGTTAGTTTAAAGTTGAAAAAGGTTTGCAAGTAGATGCTTCGCAAGAAATCCTAATTTCAGGATAGATCGATGGTTATGGAAGAAATTGAGACCTAGAGAAAAGAGAAGATAATATCAAACAGCGGACTACTAAAATACCAAAAGACATGGAACAGCAGAAAGGAGAAGAGAAAATTTCCATATTGGAAGGTCTTTTATTTTTTTAGGAATCTTTGAAAAATTAACAAAAAATGTATATTCAAAATTTCTAGATGGGATGATTTCGGAAAATTTTAAAGTTTCCAACGATAAAGTTGTTTTTCACCAATTTTCCTTAGGAAACAATGTAATATTTGAGTTTTAGTAGTAGAAAAATGGGGGGACAAAAAGAGCAGGTCACTGACCTTGTAAACTTACACAAGGTCTTCAAAATATGAGTAAGTTTACAGTAAATCGGGTACTTGAAAGATGTTTAAAAAAGTTTGCAAGTAGCTGCTTCGCCAAAAATTATAATTTCAGGATAGGTAAAATGGTTATAGAAGAAATGGAAATCTAAAGAAAAGAAAACTGGGATAAAATACCAAGGAAAAGAGAATATTAGAAAGAAGATTTATCTCTTGGAGGCTTTTTATCTATGTATAGTTATCAGAACAAATGTAAGCGAAAATCTGATTCAAATTCAATTTAAAATAAAAATATACTGCAATGATGCCACAAAAGACTGAACAAGCTGCACGTTTAAACAAAAAAATATATCGTTGCAATAAAACCTATACGAAACAAAAAACATTCAATTCAGACGTTTTTTAAAATATCGTTTTGATTCTATTCGCAATTTTTCATCAAATTTTCCCGGTAAATTTCCGTCGAGGTTGCTCTCGAGTAAAAATCTCAATTGTTTGTTCGAACTCGTTCAAATTTCGAACCGCTATATTTCCGCGTCAATGCGTGGGTAGGCAAAAATTCATTAAATTCGCTATATAAAAAAATTGCGCCTATAGAATTGAATCATTTTCGTTGGCTAACCGGAAAAAAAGTCTATCGAAATCCACCAGTCCTACCTGTTCAGTCGTATACATTCGAAAAGATCTTCAAAACGATCTTTCTCGACGTCCCCTCGTAGCAGGATTGCTACAATTTCGATCTCCCTCGTAAGTATAAATTCCGATCCACATTAGTCCGGGCGGAAAGGATTTTTGTTTGTTTTAACATCGGAAAAAACAGCATTTGGAGTTTGAAAGCGGATTTTTTGAAATAACTCTTTTATTATCAATTTTACGATAAAAATACTAGTATACAAAACGAAAGACAATTAAATTATCTATAAAAAGCTCTGATCATATTGGTTCTAATCCTAATTGTTTTTAAGCAAATGTCGAAAAATCGGCGTGCATTATGAATTACAAAAGAAAGATAAAGAATTAAACTAAAATCAAAACAATGTACTGCATAAACTGCAAGATTTATCACTGAACGATTTAAGAATATTTTTATTTTTGCACAGTTATTCCTCAAAAACAATTGATCCGAGAACGAACATCTTTATACCCTTCGACGGAGAATCTAATTACCTCAAATTTTATATACCACTACTTTTACCGAAAAACCAATTAAAAACGAATTATTTAAAAAAACGACCCACGAAAAATACCATTTGTGTATTTTTTTTTTTTTTTTTCAGCAAAAAGCAAGATCAATTTGAACATCTCTTCGAATTAGTCCCCAGTCTGACGTTAGAGTACCTCCTCCCCACTAGTAGGTAGCGCAAAGTCTCGAAAAAATTCACATCCAACCTCATTTTAGGAGAATATTTTGGTCCTGACCTGATAAAGTTCCATAAAGAAGAAGTGGCATATTGACTAAATCGATTTTTATGGGCAATTTACACGATTTACAAACGATTTTACACAATCGAACATAATTTACATTAGTTAAATTGATATTTACTCGGTTACTTCTAATCAAGTTAGATTTCGTAATTTTACTTAGTTAATAATGTGCATTGTTTTACTCAGTTTTAATGAACAAGAATAATTTGCAATTTTGATTAGTTAAATTATGTTTACTTTTACTTAGTTAAAAAGATTAGTTAGGCTAATTGTAAAATTATTTCGCGAATTTACATTAGCTAATTCGGTATTTTAGTTTTTTCAGACAGCTTTGTATTATTTTCTAATTTTACACAGCTATCTCGTGATTTTGCGCAACGAGATGTGTGTAAAATTTCTCGCGGCGCGTCTAAATACTTACAAAACGTATAACTTTAAATAGATTACACGTTAGAAGTCACAAGCTATTTAATATAGATTTGTAGCAGATTTGCTGAGAGTAGGTTGCAATATTGCAAATTAGTTAAGATTGTGCGTGATTTTATAATTAAATGTATTTAACTATTAAATTAGTTAAAATTTTAATTGTTTTTGGAATTTTTATGAGTTAGTTTGTGAGTTTTACATATCTGACAAGTTCTGTGTAATTTTACTTAGTTAAAAATTAAAATAGTTACTTAAAACGAATGTGTAAATTTATTGGATTGTGTAAAATCGCAGGTAAATATGACTCTGTAAATTGCCGAAATGGCATGTGTATCACTCTTCTGCTTTACAGTACGTTTATGACTTAACTTCTATCTAAATTTTGTTTCCATTTTTTAACATTATATATCAGTCTCAAGGGGCAAATCATAATTAATACATTTGCAACGAGTATTTGGATAGTTACAATAAAAAAACGGAAGCTTAAAATATAGGGGACGCTGTATCGGCTTCAAATTAAAAATATATGTGTATATATACAATAAAATTATCGACGTAATTTTGATGTTTAAAAAGTTGTGATGTCATAGGCTTGTTTCTGCTTCAGACCAAAATCCGTTAAAAATGGGACACTTTGTTTTAAAGAAAGCTATAAACAGTTCAAAGCAAAATGGCGACTAGTTACACTGTTTAAATAACTATAAGTGGGAATTATTTTTCTTTAATAAACGAGATATAGCTTTACGATTGAAATCTTTAATGGGTCGTCACAATTACCAATAGGCATTTGATATTAAATAGAAATAAGAGTAAATCAATATGGCTACCAAAACTTCATTTAAAAATAACTTTAAAACAAATAGTTGGCAACTTGACAAGTTACCAAGCAGATTTTTTTTATTTGAAGAATAAAGAAATCGAAAGTTAAATGGCCCAAATCAAGATGGCTACCGTGTGCCATTTTGTTTAAAAACAATTTTAACTTGAAATATAGGCTTGTCATACCTCAAACGATAGGTATTTTAAAGCTGGAGAAGAAATTTTCGAAATTTAGTCCAAATCAAGATGGCTACCATGTGCCATTTTGTTTAGAAGTCGTTTCAATATGAAATATAGGCTTGTCATACCTCAAACGATAGGTATTTTAAAGCTAGTGAAGAAAATAGCGAAATTTTAGTCCAAAGCAAGATGGCTACCATGTGCTATTTTGTTATATTTCGTTTCAATATGAAATATAGGCTTGTCATACCTCAAAAGATATGTATTTTAAAGCTGATGAAGAAAATAGCGAAATTTTAGTCCAAATCAAGATGGCCACCATCTTACATTGTTTAAAAATCGTTTCAAATTGAAATATATACCTGTCATACCTCTAACGAAAGGTATTTCAAAGCTGGAGGAAGTTTCGAAATTTTGGTCCTAATCAAGAAAGCTACCATGTGACATTTTGTTTTGTCTAAAAATAGTTTCAAATTGAAATATAGGCTTTTCATACCTCAAATGACAGGTATTTCATAGTTGGAGAGGAAAATATTGAAATTTTAATCCAAATCAAGATGGCTACCATTCGCCATTTTGTCCAAAACCTGTTTCAAATTGAAATATAGTCTTGTAGACAGGTATTTCTAAGCTGGAGAAAAAAATAATAAAAATTTAACCCGATTCAAAATGGCTGCCATGTGACATTTTGATTCGTTTAAAATTCGATTCAAATTGAAATATATACCTGCCATACCTCAAACGATAAGTATTTCAAAGCTGGAGAAGAAAATGGCGAAATTTTAGTCCAAATCAAGATGGCTACCATGGGCCATTTTGTTTCAGTCGTTTCAGATTAAAATATATGCTTGTTACACCTCAAACGACAGGTATTTCCAAGCCAGAGAATAAAACAATAACTATATACAAATCAAGATGGCTACCAATCGCCATTTTGTTTTAAAATCATTTTAAATTGAAATAGGGGCATGTAACACCTCAAACGAAAGATATCTTTAGGTTAAAGAAGAAAATAATGAATTTTTTAGTCAAAAACAAAATGGCTGTCAATCGCAATTTTGTTTATTTTTCTATTGTAAAGTGGTTTTTTACCAATGCGACATGACTCACTAGTAATAAAGAATGGAAAAGTTTGAAATATTTTAAAAATTTTTATAAAAAGACAAAATTTAGATCAATGTTTTGTTTGATATTATTTTTTATATATTCATTCACAATTATTATTATAGAAAATCACCCGAAATATATGTTAATAACGAAAATAAGACATTTTAAAAATACCGATTTTTACTCAAAATTATGTGGTTATCTTCTATGAGATATTTAAAACTCTATAGTATGTCTAACCAGCCGCCATTTTGTTTTAAAAACCGTGTTAAATTTAAATATGGGCATGTGACACCTCAAACGAAAGGTCTGAGAAAGCAGAACAAGAAAATTATATAGAATATAAATTTGATAAAAAAAAACGTGTTTTTTAATTTGAATTGAAACAAGCGACCTCCTATAGGTACAGCACTCTATTTAACGAAATAAAAAAACTATCTACCTTCTTTCTCGATGAAACAGATCACATCTTGAGAAAAAAAAACTATGACTAAAATTAAAAAAATAATAATAACAGTCCGATGCCCGATTTTCCAAAACAACAAAACCTTATCTTTCTCTCGTTCTTTCTCTCTCTCTCGCTCACACACACACACACACACACACACATGCTACTTCCATCCATTTCATACCTATCCTATTTTTTTAAATGTCAAACGTCGTATAAATTGGGCTCGATCACAGATTTGAAAAAACACATGGTCACTTGACTAGCGAGACGTCCGACGTCACAGTCTTCTCGAATTAACGGCAGCGACGGGGCTGCATCTCCCCCCCCGAAACACTTCCGCAGGAGGGAGGGCAATCCACCCCCGCATCTCTTTTTCCTCATCTCATTTCTCGATTGAGCTTTTCCATTCGGCGCTCTCGGCGACTTGGCGTGACTACTCGAAGAACGAAACGGGCAGTTTACTAACTAGTAGAGTGCATGGGCACTTGGGTCGCCGTCGAGTTGGTGAGCGCGTGCGTCGCCAGCACGGGCACCGGTTGCGTCGCTATCGACGTCAGAATGGGTATGGTCGTTAGGGCGGGGAAGGCGTGCGAGGGACTGCTGTTGCCCGACGTCGAGCTCGTGTGCTGCAACGATTCCTCGATCAGATTGGCTATCTTGTCGCGGTCTACCTGCAAAACGCAAAAAGAAATGCGTCAAAACTGTCGACTGTCAAAATTGACACGCGACAAAATTGTCAAATGTCAAAATTGTCAGATGTTGAAATTGTCAAATGTCAAAATTGTCAGATGTCAAAAATTGTCAAATGTCAAAATTATCAAATGTCAAAATTATCAAATATCAAAATTGTCAAATGTCAAAATTACCAAATGTCAAAATTGTTAAATGTCAAAATTGTCAAATGTTAAAATTGTCAAATGTCAAAATTGTCAATGCCAAAATTATCAAATGTCAAAATCGTCAAATGTCAATATTGTCAAGTGTCAAAACTTGGCGAGGGCAATATAATCGATTAATCGAGAACTCGATTTTTTTAATCGATAATCGACTGATAAAAAATAATCGATTATTCAAAAAACTGAATTAAATGAAAAATCGATCATTCAAAAAATGAATTAAACGAAAAAATCGATTAATTGAAAATCCGATTATTCTACAAATCAAATAATTGAAAATATTATTCGAAATAGAAAGATTAAACGATTATTCGTAAAAATCGATTATTTAAAAAAAATATTTTAATATTTCGATAATTAACCAATCTTATCGATAATTCGATGTTATAAAACAATTAAAATAGATATTTATTAATAAATTAATAAATTATTTAAAAATCGAATATAAGAATAAAAATCAATTAAATAACATCGATATATCGATTATTCGGAAATAATCAATTTAACGATTAATCGAAAATAATCGATTATCTATTGATTATTTGGAAATAACTGATTAAAGAAAAATAATCGATCTCTCAATTAATTGTATAATCGAAAACATTCGATATAGCAAAAATAATCGATTATTCAATTTACTGAATAATCGATTAATGTAAAATAATATAATTAAATAATCAAAAATAATCGATTAATCAAAAATAAATATAAACTATTAATCCAAAAAGAAAATCGATTATTTATTTTGATAATCGCTCAGTCCTATCGATAATTCGATATTATAAAACGATCTTTGTATTTTTTTGTATTTTCTTGTATTTTTTTGTATTTTTTTGTATTTTTTTGTATTTTTTTGTATTTTTTGGAATTTTTTGGTATTGCCAAAACTGTCACCTGTTAGAACCGTCACTTGTCAAAATCGACACTCGTTAAAACTATCCCTTGTCAAAATCGTCATTTGTCAAAACCATCACTTGTCAAAACCGTCATTTGTTAAAACTGTCAGTTGTCAAAATTGTCGAAAAACGCTATACTTACTTCATTTATAAAACCGTAGTGTACTAATTCCTGTGCTAATAACCTTGGATTGTCCCCAGGCGATATACAACTTGTTAGCTGTCTATTCATTTTATCATCCATACGTAGTACAATAGTCAACTGAAAAAAAAAAACGAAATAATCTAATGAGCCTTTCTGTTAATTTTAAACTGATAAAAATGAGGGAGGTTATTGCAATAATTACTCCAAATTTGAGATAATACAGGGGTCTATTTCATAAAACTATTTTGCAAAGTTGCAGTTAAAAAGCAAAATTTGAAAATCAATTTGCAAAGTAAAAATAAAAAATTAGTAATCTGCAGAATTGACGATATTATTTTATGAAAAACAAATCTTGCAAAAATGCAAAGTAGTTTTATGAAATAGACACCTGATCTTTACGTTTGGAGTACTAGGAACCCAAAACGTTTTTTGTTACAGCACGAAATAGCCCTAACTATTGAGTCGATTTCGATGGGATTTGAAACAAAGGGGTTATCAGAGGCCTCTGAAAAATTAATTAAATTTTGAGCAGTCATTATCTATAATTCTGTTATATACACATGATGTTCTTAAAATGGACCATATTGGAGATATTTAAAGAAAAGTACATTTTTTTTTTGTTTAGAGCGGGATCTAACGTGAAACTTTGAGACACATCAGATATAAAAGCAAAAATAATAAAATTTTGAATTTTAATTACCACCAATTTCGAGGGGGTTTAGATTAATTAAGATGTATATATTTTAAATTAATTTATTTTTATTCATGATTTTATTATTATTTAATGATTGTAATATGTATTAGGTATAATTGGAGTATTTATTATTTAAAGGGCTCTAGCCCATAAATAAATAAATAAATGGGGAGGTTGCTGTAGCTTCACGATTCGATTTTTATACAAAATATTCCAATGTAAATATATTTTTGATATATAATAAACAGTCTAAGTACTATCTTGACCCCTTAATTAAGTAATATAAATAGAAAATATTATTTAACGAAAAAAATTTATGAACAACTGAAATGACTTGCGAAATGTTAAATTAGAATTAAGGTTTAAATGATAATTTAAATTTGAAAAACATCTGCCCGGTATCCTTGCCAAGTATTTTAAATACCTACATAACCAAGTTGAATATTGATTGATAAAGTTCATTTAACGGTTTAAAAATATGTTTAATGGGAAAATATTTGTGAATATATAGGATGTCCCGATTTATTACACTAAACATACAAAATATTGTTAAAATAATGGATTTCTATAAATGATGTTAAGTGGCGTAATGAAAATTAAAAATGTTAAAAAAATTGATGTAATTTCGTAATATCGATATATTTAATAAGTTTTAACACTATTTTATTGAATTAACTTACTTTTTATAATATTTTGAATACAATTAGATAGAAAAATGATGCTGCATTTGCTAATTTAATTAAATATAAGCTACTTTGCCTGTTTAACCTAAGTTTTAACATTTCTTTCCACAAAATTTAAAACAAAATATTGACATAAGCGGTTTTTGAGTTTGCAACGTTGCCACATTGAATCCTATTAAATTTTGTTCACGTTCAAGTCCAAGTATTTCTAACAATTTTCCTTGCCCTTATAATCATTAGGTCAGTATCACATCACTATTGACGTTGTTTTACCCACCCAGCACCCCTATTCACTATCTTTCCCGTAATTTAACTTGCAAGCTGGCAACGTTGCTATTTTCAAGACAAAATTTGTCATATAAAGAGTTTGGTGCGTATAACTTATAAAATTGAGTTTTTAATTACATTTTTCTGTAAAAAAAATTACGAATTACGTATTCTTCGAAGGACCCAGTGATTGTACTCCTACAATTTCCTTAAATTGCAGAAATATTTTTATTTGACTTACCAAAAGATCACAGCTTTCTTCTTTGGATTTAACATCACACATCATATTAACAATTTTCCTAGTTTCTACGTCAGTGGGTTCCGGTGTAACGGACTTGACGGATTCCGCCATTTCCGGCGAGATGGCTCTCGACCGGGCCGGAGGGGGTTGCTTGGCACCGAACGCCGTCAACGGGTATATGCCGTTCCTGAAACAAAACAAAAATACAATAAATTATTACCATCACAGAACGGTTAATACAAAGCGATATGGTAATGAAAAATAATAAGGGTATTGAATCGGATCCTTGCGGAGTGTCAGAAGTAATTAAAATAACTGCGATTTATATCCTTTATATGAAGCGAATTGTGATCTGTCTATAAGGGTCGGTCTTTTCACCTTCAGATAAAGTGTCAGATAATTTTTATCTCCCAAGCAACTTTAAAAAGTAATCTTTTCATTTCTGGGTAAACCTAACTTCTCAATGATAAATTATCTTATTTATGAAATTTCTGATAAAATACTTCACTAATGGATAAATAGGTAGTTACATAACCACATAAGGTTAAAAAGTACTGGATACCTACCACACATATTATTTACTTGAAAAAACAGAAAATTAATTATCTGACAGACAGTAACTCTCAGATAATATATCCGTCAGTTAGTTATCTGGAACTTTATCCAAAGGTGAAAAGACCGACCCTTAGACAGTTTAGAAATAAAGATAATATATTAGTAAAAAATCTAAATGTTTTAATGTAAACTGTTCAGGAGTTATGCTCATTTTCCTTGTCTCATGAGCATAAAACATAGTTGATGTTGAGATACACTCAACATTGCATCTTGCGCCGCTCCTGCAGCATTATATCTTACTGACAACTCTGTACAATTAGTCCATAACGTTGAGACGGGCAAAACGAATACTTCACCCCCTTGTGATATACTATTTCATAGGGACAGTACTACTATTTCTTAAACGGTAACATAGATAGAAAGTTGGTTAAATTAGACAAAATTTGCGCAGTTTTCTGCTCATAGAAATGGTGACAAGAAACCTTTGATATCTATAGGGAGAATTAAAATATCGGACAAAAATTTTTGTCCGATATTTTGAATCTTTCTGTAGATATCACCATTTTAATGTGCAGAAAACTGTGCAACTTTTGTCTAATTTAACCAACTTTCTATCGGTTACCATTTAAGAAATAGCATTACTGTTCCTATGAAAACGTAAGGACCCTGTATAAGCGTCATTTCATAGGCAATAAAATATGTTCCGCAAGTTAAGTGACACCATCACGCAAGAAAATGATTGGTCAGTGAATTAAAAGGAGAAATTGCTATATTTTTCATCGGTGGAGCTTAGAGCATTTACATTTATTCGAGAGGGAGGTGTTCCAAAACCCGTCATATTAGCTAGTTAAATTTAAAAGCAATATGATTACTTTTCAAATGATTCTTGTGTTATTTACAAACTATTTTAAAAAAAGTTCAGTAACAAAACAGTGTTCAATAAGATGTAAATTTCAATACAGCCACATCTTCTAGGAACCAGCCAGTAGATATTAGAAGATTAAAAAGTATGTCTTAAATTACAGTTCATTAAGATCGTGGTCGGCTTAGATTTTATTTAACAATGACAAAACAGTCGGTACTAGTTTCACAAGCCGGTAAACACCATAAAATGGTCCTTCGAGCCAGATTTAAACCAACGATTACTGTTTTTATTTTAAAAAGTTTGTGTTTGTGACTTTTTAGGCATTAGAAATAATGTACGATGTAAAGAATAAACAGTAAATGAAAAGAAAACCGATAAAAAAGACCATCTTGTTCTGAATGTTATCTACTTTGAAAAAACAGTTTTTTGAAGAGAATTCGGCGATGAAGGAACATCTTACGGTATTTCTCATGATGTCAAAACATTGGTGTGAAGTATGATCGCAATAACATTGAAGTAATTAGCTGCTAGAATAATATGAAGTAAGAAGACTCAAAAGGGTCAATCAAGCTTTTCAATTATTACGAGTGTGGCTAGAAAAAAAACAGGATAAGTGTCATAAAATCGTTTATTGATTTTCTTCTTCCTTCTATGATCCCTGCACCGCCACATATGAATTTTTAATTCTTCATAGCAATGCTATCGATTATTTTTTGAAAACATGATCATGGGTATCGGCTGCTATTTCTCTGACATCTCTACTGTCCCAAATTTGGTTCATTTTAGTGCTGATTTCACCCTGTGCATGCTTTCCCCAATTATTAAGCAAAAAAAAGCATCTTCCTTTATAGAATTTGCAGGTAGAATATTAACCGATTCCTTACAAAGTTTTAAAGTTTGAAATCAAAATACAAAATTTGCCATAAATCAAAAACGCCTTTAAACATTTTTTCTATATCTGTTCGTTTTGAGTTAAAGAAAAAATAAGCTTTTATGGAGCAAAAAATTAACAGCGTTGTTGAAATTTATTTCTCAACAAACGTATGTAAATTAATCAATTAAAGAGGGCTCTCTCGGGTGGAGCTTTGTCGATCGAATATAAAAACACCCTATATAACACCAAGAATATTTTATCACAAACTATTCTAAGGTGAATTATCCAAATTGAGCCTGTTTCTAGGAACAAAAATTTCACCGTATTCACCTATTTTAACGATTTTAATTGCTTTTTGGCTATAAAACAAAGGAACTATTTTTAAAAGTGTCACCACACCCATACTACGTGCACGATACAGTGTTTCCGAAATGTACTAAACTATGATGCCAAGAAAAGCGGGTATAATCCGTTCAAATCTAAAAAAACAGTTATAATGGTGCTAAACGTTTCAAGTTTCAACAAAGAAAAATAGAATTTTGCCAATCATGGACGGGTATCTTAATAAGAAAATTTGTTAGTGTAAGCTTTTACATTTCTTAATATATAGTGAAACAATAGTTTTTGTTCGTCCTGTAAATTTGTATAGAAAAACTATTTATTTCTAAATCCATGTTTGAATTTCCCGCCCTAAAACATTTTTAATTTTTCCCGCTATTTATCACTAGATACAGCAGTAAGAGGCGTTAAGAAAAGAAGAAAATTGACTAGTGCGTCATCATACACTGGTAGCAATTACAATCGCCCAAACAACTTTTGTCGAACACCAAAAAAATACATTTAAGTTACACGTTTCGCTGGGTTAGGGGGCGTCCATTAATTACGTGAAGTATTTTGGAGGATTTTTTGATCCCCTCTCCCCCTGGTGAGATTTCCTCAACTCCCTCCCCCCTCCCCTAATCTTACGTGAGATTTTTGAACACTTCACGTAATTAATGGACGCCCCCTTATCTCTGGTTACTTTGGTAGTTACGATAATCCAACAAAAGCAGACCATTTGGTATGCCTATTCTATTCAGTGTTGGTAAGATCAAACCTTGCTTATATTGGTGTGAATAGTAAATGATATTCGCATGTGCAGAAGAAGTTTTAAGTACGGATTCTGTTTCGTGAAAAATTGTCAATATAGCTAATTTATCGTAAATGGGGTAGATTAGATTTAATTACGACTGTGGGCAATGTGTCCTCCTTCACCCCGACTTTTCCAGATCTATTGTGAGTAAACATTTTGAAAACAATTAAACCTCTTTTAGACTGTTGGTTCTGATTTTAAACCTATTTCAAAAAACCAGACTCCTTTTTGTCAGGTTACAATAGTAGTTTGGGCAACAAAAGTGGATATGATGGCCATATCGCTCAAAGACGAAATCTATTCTTACATTTAACTCCTCTTAATTTAGAACATAAAATGTTTTATGATAATTTAAAATGTTAAAATACAATATACAAATAAGTGCAAATTAGTAGAAAATATATAATAACAATAATAAGAAAAACTTCATGACAGATATCGTATCTGCAAAGTTTTGGTTATTAATATAAAAAGTCACAAATTTCATTTTAAAAAAGTACAAAACTGGGTAAAAACAAATTGAAAAAAAAATTAAATAAATATTAGTAGTTTACCCAAAAAAATTGCATAGAATGAGTAAGGTAATCCCACAGACTGGTGCATATTTCAGCAGATCATCTTTATTGATAATGATAACATCAGCGTCTGTGTCTGTCGATAAGTCTATAAAAAAAACATTGCGGTGGTGGCTGTGTGATGACGATAAAAACTCCCGCGAACAAAAAAAAAAAACGATGATGACGCAAAAAGAACACCACAAACTTGACACGGTTAAAGGACGTCGAGTGTCATGGTCGATTTTAAACTTTGGAGCAAAACGAAAATACATTTTTTATCGAAAATGATCGGTTGCCAAGAATCGTTATGTTTTGTCTGTTTATATTCGCATGTCGTGTCAACTAGAAAATTGTATTTCGCGATAAAAAAATATTGTCGCAAAACGATTAAGCAATATTTTCAATGATTATATATTTAATATGTTAGAGCTCTACGTATTTGGACGTTGGACATTTTTAATATAATTATATCAATGTTAAATTTTCTCTAGCTTAGATCGTCGCTTTAATGCTTTAATGGTGTCCTCTCTATCCCATAAATATAAATATCGTAAATATTGTAAAACATAAACCATTTATTTATTTTGAAGACAAAAAAATGTTCTTCTGTAAAAATCATATTTTGTAACATACAATAGTTCTGCAATTATTAAGGTGACGAAGTAAGGTTTCAATGTCAAGTTATTTTTATGACTTCTTGTTTCTGAAATCCTGCTTAGCTTCACTATATATGAAACAATAGTTGATCTACTGGAATGGTTAGTTATTTTTAGATTTTGTATGTCCATTCCACATTTTTTAGCCGATTGTTTTTTATTTCCATCCTGGCAGGTTTTACTAAATACACATTGGATTATATTAGATTCTTCCTGTTTCTTGTTCAGCATTATTAATTTCTTTTTGGAAATAGTGGAGAAAACAATAATTAATGCCTTCTTCTCCATGCCATGCTAGCTATAGCTCTTATGTAATATGAAAATGGTCACTTTTAAGCCTAGTGGTGTATTTTTATTGCATAAATCTATTATATTCTTCTTTAGCTAGGACCTTTTTTTTTTCGGGCTGGGATCGTAATCCTTTTCTTTTTGAATTTCTTACATTATTAGGTTTTTTAAATTCAATATTTCTAAAAGGATGAAACTTTATATTAAATTCTGAATATTTTTCTTGCGGTTACATTCCAAATTATTTTTATTGATTATTCTTTGTAATCTTCTTTATTGATCTTTTTCATATTAGCTCCCCAATCTTCTAAAACTCTAGCTATTATCTCAGTTGTAATATTGTCTAATTTGTAGTTTACAGAACTGCTCAAACTGATTCCAAATTAATTTTCTTGAATTTACTGTATTATGAGGTACATAATTATTAACTAAACTTTCAAATAGTAAAATTATTATCACCAAATATACAGTACTTATGTTTTCGTGTTAGGCATACGACTAATATATAAAATGGCAACAGGGCAACAGCCAGTCGTCGACTAGAATAGGAAGATATGGTGGTGGGATATTAGCCGAACCGAATGTCGGTGACAAAACCGGAGTGTATTCGCGATTCAAATCAATTTTCGCGCGCCTGTCATTTGTCACCTATAAGTAAGATGTTTGTTTATTTACATGTGTTTGTTTTGTGCGGGATTTTGTATTTGTGATTTTTTAACTGTTTTTAGATAATATTCTCATTATAATTGTGTTTAATTTAGTGTTAATCTAAGTTTAGTTTTCGTGCTTTCATAAATATAATATTTATCATGTGTATGACTTAATTTGTTGGAAATATTCACCTATTGGTTGCTACAAGAACAACTAGAATCCTACCTTGTGCGTGTTTCTGAGTCTGGCTAAGGCTTTAGATACAGTTTCTCATACGCAATTATTGGAGGCACTGGATGATATAGGAATTCGAAGCGAACCAAATAAACTTTTTGCAAATTATTTATTAAATAAAACTCAAACGGTAAAAATCAACATTTTAAGTGAAAGAAAATATATTAAATTTGATGTACCCCAAGGTTCTGTGTTAGGTCCTACCCTCTTTATTATTTATCTCAACAGTATTCTTACTTATTCAAGTGCGGGTAGATTGATAAGCTTTGCAGATGATACGGCAATTGTTTACTCTTATAATACCTGGACAAGTTTAAAAAAAAAAACTGAAAATGATTTAAATAATATACTCGATTTATTCAGTCATAAAATACTCACCGTTAATTTCTAAAAAACTTACTTTGTGCCTTTTTCTAACAATGATATATTATTATGATATATTAACAGCAGAAAGGTCAAATTCTAAAGTGGACATTACCGCTAAAAAAAAATGTTAAGTATCTTGGACTGCATATAGATTGTCATCTTAGATTTGACATTCATATTGAAAATGTAGTTAAAGTTCTGAGGACATTACTGTATAAATTTAGGTATTTTAAAAATATTATAGATCCTTGTCATCTCAAAACTATTTATTTTGCTTTGATCGAATCTAGGTTAAGATATTCGATCCTTAATTGGGGAGGAGCTGCCTTTTGTTACATAAAAAAGTTAGATGTACTTCAGAAACGGTTTTTAAGAATAATATTTAAGAAGAGACTTACGTACCCGTCCTAACTTATTTTTTCGGAAGCAGGAATACTTGATATTAGACAGTTATTTATGCATCAAATAATTATTTTTATTTATAAAAACAAAAAATGTTTACAACTTGTAAATCACCATCACGAAACAAGATATAGAGAAAATCTTAATGTACAGACACAATTTTTAAGAAGAAATGTTAGTATCCGAACACATATTCACAAAATTATGTGGAAAGTATTCAATAGTCTCCCAGAATCATATAAAATGTACCTTCTCAATATAAACTCATTAGAATTCATTAAAAAACGTTTTAAAACACACATTATAAACTTAGGAAGAGGAAATGTTCACCACTTGTTAAGTCTCTAATAAATATTTTTTACTGTCGCGTTTTTACTAATTTTTAATAACATATACATATGTTAAAATAGCTAGGTTAATTTTGTGTATAAAAATCATGAAAATATATTCGTCCGCTCACAGTCTTTTTGGCTTCTTATGGATGAATTCACAAACATGTTTATTTAAAGATATAATTTAATGTTCTTTAAACATAGTAAATTTAACGATCGTCAATACAAATACAAGTATTTGCCAAAAATTTTCATTTTATAATAAATTTAAAACATGCAATGCTGTTTAAATCTAACCCAAGTACAGCAGATAGGGCGTGGAGTTATGAGAGGGGCGCAACTTTTGAGAAGTTTAAGAAGCTCTGATCTAGAAGATACAAAAAATTCAACTCGAAATAACAAATAATGACAATCGGTATAGAAATTATTTAGATAAAATTTTAACATGTCTGTACAAACATTTTTCAAATACACAATTTCTTATTTAAAATTTTTGAATGTGGTGAATTTTTCATAATAAATAAAAAACAATTATGTTTACTTCATTTTTTCCTTTTCAACTATAAGAAATATTTTAACCGTGTTCTATATTTAGATACTTACCCAGTTCATCTAAGATAAGCTATCAAATTTAATATCATAGCAAAAAAAAGATAAAAGTGATATCGTTGACGTCAATAGTTTGTTAATCTTTTTTGCTCCTAACAAAAAATATTTGTGCAATAGAACGGGCTACAAAAATTAAGAACTTGTTATGCAAAACTTAAAAAAAATTGTTTTAAATTTATTATTATACCTAATTTGGAGTAAAAACGCTAAAAAATATATATAAAAGATGAGCAATATTTAAAGAATGTTTATTGCTCATTGTGCATTGTGATAAAAAGTCAATAAAGTTAACAAATTCCAATAATTGTCTTGAAAAAAAAAAAACTGGTTTTATGATCATTTAACTACCGTTTTACATTCAAAATAGCACGTTACATCATTCACACATTGCTAATTATCTGGCAAATATCGAGCCACTTTTAAATTTAAGTTTATTGACGTACAAAACGAATTTTTTAAGAAAAACGTTCCAACAACAATTCAAATCATGAATGAAAAATAAAATAATTTCGTTGCTTCGGTACCCAGATCTTAAAACTTCCATCCAGCCCTCGTATAAAATTATTTCCGTTCGGTTTTTTGTTGCGGTTCATTCTCAAAATGCAGCGAAACGTTTGTTTCTTCAAACTAGCAACAATCACCTTTACTATAAGCATTTAAAATTCAAATAACCCGATTCAAGGTTAATTAGAAGATCAAATACGTGATAAGGACATTTTTAATAACCCCATTCACATCAAATTTAAACACAATTACAACAAAAACTGTATCTCTATCTGCCATTAAAAAAACTTGACCAAAAATAATTTCTTCACAGAATAAATTTTATTTTAATAATCGTTTGAACGTTACTATTGCAACATATATTTCATACTGACAAAAACAGAGTGATAAGAACATTTAGAATATTCAGTACGTTAGTGAATTCAATGGCGACCACCAGCCGGTCGATTTTATCAATTTTCAACGGCTTCCACCAAGCCAGGCGGTTACATTTATACAGAAACCTGCTAGGAAAAGTGGCCTTCAACCTATCGGACATCGGCGAGGGCATCAGAGAGGTCGTAGTAAAAGAATGGTTCGTGAAACCGGGCGATAAAGTAGCGCAATTCGATAATATATGTGAAGTGCAAAGTGATAAGGCATCGGTGACGATCACGAGCAGATATGACGGAATTGTGAGCAAGCTGCATTATAAAGTCGACGATACAGCGCTGGTAGGCAAGCCATTAGTCGATATAGAAACTGAAACAGATGGAAAATCCTCGGATACCCCTACCATCGATTCGCCTAGTTCGGAATCGGATAAAGAACAAATACCGATAGCAGTAGTAGAAAAAGATACATTTAACACATCAGATATACAATGCATACCGTCAGTACGACGATTAGCTAAAGAGCACAGCTTGGATTTGAGTAAAATCACTGGTACCGGCAAACATGGTAGGATCCTTAAAGAAGACGTACTCAAATACATGGGAGAACCGGCAGAAAACATTCCCACAGGGATTTTATCACAAGCAGAAACACCAACGACAGAACCCATCAAAGGCTTCAAAAAAGCCATGATTAAAACCATGACAGAGGCGTTAAAAATTCCGCATTTGGTCTACGGCGATGAGTTTCTATTGACGGAGCTGTCGAAACTTAGAACGATATTAAAATCAAAACATGAGACCAAAATATCTTCGATGCCGTTCTTTATTAAAGCCGTTTCTAACGCTTTGACTAGATATCCCATCGTGAATTCATCTGTAGACGAAAATGTTGAAAATATACTGTACCACAAGGCTCATAATATAGGTAAGATGTCAGCAATGTTTGAATGTTTACTAGATTCATAGATATCCTGACAGGTGTTTCATTAACAATGATAGCATCTTCAGGAGGGTGATAATGTTAAAAAATGATATATAATATGCGTTTTTCGACATAAATGGTACAAATCTTGAGTTTTATACACTTTTTTGTACCGTAATGTTAGGGTTTTCGCGTGTGTTGGAGTTGGAACAAACCTTATATTAATAAATAATCATGATACAACAGTAAAATTATTAAACAATATTTTTACTAAACTAATCGTGATTTGATATTGTTTAAAAAACTGAAAAAAATATGGAAACATTTAAAAAAAATACCAAATGCAACATATTATTACAATAATGACTTTGTTATTTAAATAAAACATTTAGATTCACAAACAACAGATATTTTTAGATTCTATCTGAAGAGCTGATTAATCAGTGTCCACATTTATATAGGGTGGTGTAACACAAATTAATTTTAGAAATGTTTGAGAAATATTTACTATAAAACATTTTTAACATTATTATATTATGATGGGTCATGTATTTTTTTTTTTTTTGGTAATTTAAAATAAAATTAAAAATAAACCTAAGCAATGCTTTTGACTGAAATTTAATGTATGTAATGTATACATTATGTATTGTATATATCAACCATTAATGGATTAGAGAGTCAATAATATAGACTATCAATAGCATAGACTGTTAATAATATAGACAATCAATAATATATACTACCAAGAGTATAGACTCGATAGCATATACTGTAAATATTAAGACTTTTAATACTATAGAACTGTCAATACTAGATACTGTTAATACTATACTATATACTACCAATACTATACTATAGACTGTCAATACTATACTATAGATTGTTAACACCATATTATAGAATGTCAATACTATCTTAGACTGGCAATACTTTACTAGACTGTCAATACTATACCAGGCTGTCAATATTATACTACAGACTGTCTATACTATAGACTGTATATACTATAGACTGTATATACTATGGAACTATAGACTGTCAATAGGGTTGACAGATTTACAAAATGGAAAAGCGGTGATGACAGATCAGGTTAGAAAAACAGGTAATTTTGTAAAATCAGGTCCTTCTTTTTGTGGAAATCTATAAAAAAAGGTCCTTCGCTTATATTTTTGTGTAAACCAGGTCCTCTTCTTGAGGAGCTTCTCAAAAAAAAAGGTCTTACCTCTTAAAAAATGTCTGTATTTATAACTTTGGATTTAAAAAGCGTGGTATGTGGGTAAAAAGCGTGGCATTTCAGTAAAAAGCGTGGCATTTTGGTATAAAGCGGGGCATTTTCGAACTCTGGCGTGACGCATACCAGCAAGTTAAAAAGTGGGACAATTCCGCTTAGAGCGGGGCTTTTGGTAACCTTAACTGTCAATACTATACCATAGACTATCAATAATATACTATAGACTAACCATACTATAGACTAACAATATTATACTATAGACTGACAATACTATGCTATAAACTGTCAATACTACACTATAGACTGTACAATACTATTAGACTGTCAATACTATAGACTGTCAATAATATAGACTGTCAATAATATAGACTGTAAATACTATTAGACTGTTAATACTATAGACTGTCAATAATATAGACTGTAAATACTATTAGACTGTTAATACTATAGACTGTCAATAATATAGACTGTCAATAATATAGACTGTCAATAATATAGACTGTCAATAATATAGACTATCAATACTATAAACTTTCAATACTATAAATTGTCAGTACAATAGACTGTTAATACTATCAGTACTGTACCATATTATAGCTCATCACAATTTTATAATTAAGTATTTTGTATAGATGCGCAATAGAGCGGTGTTGCCAAGTTGATAAAAATAAGAAATATTAAGAAAATTCAATTGGTTTTTATTTATATAAATATATTATTAGTAAATTATAAAAAGCATACTTGATTAAATATTGTTATAAAGTTCTTATTAGTTAAGGGCTTAAGTTGCTTTCCTATACAGGGTGCCCCATTAGTGCGTAATTGTTCAATATATCAATTTGTGTTATAGATACGCAAATAAGTTTCAAATAAAAATTATATAAATTTATAAGACCTGTATTTTATTTCAGTTTTAGAATGGGTTGGTAATATTGTATTCAACCCTAGATTTTTTTTTAATATTATAGGGTTGCCAAATGAAATTAGAGAATGATGCAGACCCCAAATTAAAATTTTCATAATTTAGATAGGTTTACAATATTTAACAATTATTCTTAAATATACAGGGCGTTTCATAAACGAGGTACTGACCAAATTTATAGTTTTTTAAAACAAAACACCCTGCAGGTAGTTATTTAGGCGTTTTAACGCGGGCAAAGGGAATTTTCTATTCTTATAGACGTCTAGAATCAAATAACTTTATTGCCAGCGATAAACAAAAAAATTCCTTCGAAAATCAACTTTACCTTGAATTTGACAGGTTACATGACAGGTCCTACCACTGGGACATAGTACATGTTTGTATTTAACACATTTTAGTTATATTTTCTCAATTTTTCGCTATTTTATCTCAATCGCATTATTTGTTTTAGGTTTTTGACTATTTTTGAACGAATTTTATTTTTATATAACGTTTTAACACTACTTGTAATGTACAATATAGGATTTTTAATACTTAAAAACATTTTCTAGCATCTTTGAAGCAAAACTACGTGTTTTGAATGGTATTTGACCTCGTATTTAACACATTTTAGTTGTTTTTTCGCTATTTTGACTATTACACAGTTCCTAGTTTCATGAAATTCTTATTTTGTATAAAGCGGTGTTGCCAAGTCGATAAAATTCAGTTATATTAAGAAATTGTTTTTTTATTATTATAAAATCTTTGGTTAAATGCAGGCATCTTTATTGTTAATATAATACATTTTATGAGTAATTATTGATTTTCTTAATACACTAGAACAATTTCAAGGTGGATTAGTCGTATTTTTTTTTACATTACTTCCCTTGATATTTACTGCAATTTAAAATTATACTTACTCAATTAATTGTACCAATCTCTCCATTATCACAATCAAATTATTTTTTACAGCTTTTAAGTAAATCAAGCGAACCAATACTCTAACGCTGCAATTTAAAAAATACATGCTCAATTATACCAATCTCTTCATACTTACAAATAATTTTTTGCGTAAATCAAGCAAACCAAGACTCTAACACGTACTTCCTTATTTTCCAGGTATAGCACTTGACACGACAATCGGACTAGCTGTACCAGTAATCAAGAACGTTCAAAACCTATCGATAATCGAAATAAACCAAGAACTTCAACGTTTTATCAACGACGGCAAAACCGGAAAATTCGCAATCAACGATTTAACGGGCGGTACGTTTACAATTTCAAACATAGGACCAATCGGAGGTACCCATTTGAAACCGGTGATATTACCACCGCAAGTCGCCATCTTCGCCATGGGTAGGTCCCGGGTGCTTCCCAGGTTCGACGAGAATCGAAACGTGGTGGCAGAAGAGGTGGTGACCATCAGCGCTTCGGCCGATCACAGAGTTATAGATGGCGCCACGATCGCCAGATTTTGTACGGACATCAAGAGACAGTTAGAGAATCCATATTTGTTGTTTTTGAATATTTAAATTGATATATTTTTTTTAATAATAAACGGTTTTGATGGATGGTTTATTGAGTTGTTGTTATTATTATTATTAAATAAATACTTTATTTAATTATTCAAATAAAAGGACTAAAAGGCTGGGCTATATGCAGCTTTATGCAGTCACGTCCATGTAGAATGGCCAAGAATTGTCGGAAATGTAAGGTTATGTTCTTTTGGCTGTTATATAGAATCAATTATTATTAAATTTATATAACTAACTCAAGTTTGCAAGCCTCAGTATACTGCAAACGGATTTATCATGTCTTTACTAAAATTGGTTCAGAGCACAGAAAATTTAATTCCGCTAGAGTATTAGTTAAAAACCACATCACTCGATAATTATTTGCGGAAATAGTATTGAGAGTAAAAATATTTAGGCTTAAGGCTGTCTTTAGTAAAATTGGTTCTGAATTAGCACAGAAAATTTAATTCCGCTAGAAATTATTAGTTAAAAACCATATTACTCAATGATTATTTGCGAAATACTATTGAGAGTAGAAATATTCAAGTTTAGGGCTGTCTTTACTAAAATTGGTTCAGAACTAGCACAGAAAATTTAATTCCGGTAGAAAATATTAGTTAAAAACCGTATCACTCAATAATTATTTGCGGAAATACTATTGAGAGTAAAAATATTTAAGTTTAAGGCTGTCTTTACTAAAATTGGCTCAGAGCTAGCACAGAAAATTTAATTCCTCTAGAAAGTATTAGTTAAAAACCACATCACTCAATAATTATTTGCGAAATACTAGGTATTGAGAGTAGAAATATTTAAGTTTAGCGCTGTCTTTACTAAAAACTGGTTCAGAACTAGCACAAAAAATTTAATTCCGCTAGAAAGTTTTAGTTGAAAACCACATCACTCAATAATTATTTGCGAAACACTATTGAGAGTAGAAATATTTAAGCAGGGCTCTCTTTACTAAAATTGGTTTAGAATTAGCACAGAAAATTTAATTCCGCTAGAAAGTATTAGTTGAAAACCACATCACTCAATAATTATTTGCGAAACACTATTGAGAGTAGACATATTTAAGTTTAGGGCTCTCTTTACTAAAATTGGTTTAGAATTAGCACAGAAAATTTAATTTTGCTAGAAAGTATTAGTTAAAAACCACATCACTCAATAATTATGAAATGTTTAAGTTTAGGGCTCTGTTGCAATACAGACAAGAAATCAATTTAATATTTCTAATAATTTCTATATTCTTTAATTGAATTTTCTTACAGCAATTAAGGGTAATAGTGGCCCATCATTATCTCGTTCAAAATACCATATTAGTAAACAAAGACTATTTAGTTTTTTTTTGACATTTTGTATGTAGAAAAAAAAACAACAAGCTTATTTACACTATGTTTGTTTTGAAAACCAAAGCACAAAAATGATAAAATTACAGAAAATACAATCGACTATCAACTCGTTAAGATAACCTAAATCAGCTAATTTTTTGAAATTATTATCAACATCGCACTAATTTTCATAATGACATTTCTTCTATATAAATACGACTTACATGGGCGTACAGAATGTCTAAAATTACGAGTATTTAAAGTAAAGTAACATATTAAAAATATTTTTCAAAATTCTACCGGGTGTTAGTATATTCGACCAACAACCCTTTACCTCAGAGAGCTCTCGTTTATTGATGAAACTTGATATAGGAACATGATCTCCTTAAAAGGCTTAGTTATCGAGATACGGGGTATTTAAAGTTGGAAATCAAAATTCAAAATTTGCCATAAATCGAAAGCCAAATTTGGTGACAAGTAGGCTCTTTAAGAAAGTAATATTTTCATATAAAAAAATTATAAATTTTACCAGTGGCTCTCTTTCAAGGTTATTTTATTTATTTTTACGCCACTGGAAAAAATATATTTTCATTTTTATTTTTTTTAAATGATCTATTCATTTTTATCTAAAAAAGTAAAAAAAGTCTTCACGTAATTTGTAACGACTAAATTTTTATCAATTCTGATCTAGTTGGCGTAAACATAAATTCTAATCCCAATTCCCAGCTCTCTCTATTCTTCTTAAAGTCACCCCTGTGACATCGTGTAGAAAGACGATAATCTCTAGAATATACCAGAACAAATGAAGGATCTTAGAAATTTAATTCAGAAAACTAATTATAAATAAAATTTGCTTTTAAAAGATATCTCTAATGTAAACTTTGCTGAATAAGACAATTAAAACAAGGGCAGTGTCATAACATATAAGTTTTCCTTTAAAATGGTTTTCGTTGAAGACGATGTTTATATAAATTAAAAATAGAACTTGACCAAATACTGTTTCCTGGGGTACTCCTATTTGTCCTCTTGTTTAAGAAATAGTGATCCAAAAGGCATTTGAAGCAGTTTCATAATAATTATGATTTTCTCTAAATCCAGATTAACTACTAGGAATTTAAGATTGCCATATACAAAAGATGGTATGTGAAAATTTAGACATTTTACAGGAGGCACGATTTATATGTGTATTAGTTTAGTCGAAGTACCCTTTGGCTACCAGAGTAATACAAACAACCAAAATACCCTTGTTCTTGTTCTGCCCTCTGCAGTTATCGGACCACAAAACCAATTTTCATTTTGTAGTTTTAATCTTAGCTAATCAGCTGTCATTTAGCACTTACTACGTTTTGATATATAATTCTTTATATATCTCCGTTTGGTAAAGTGCCATCGATATGATTTTTATTTTGCAAGGACAGCATATCTACTTACTTATTTCAAAAGCTGCATTTGTAAAAAAAGTGGCAAGCTGCAATTATGAAGGTGTCAATTTATAAGGCAATATCTCTAGTGCACTTAATTACTAATAAAAATAGTTTTTATCTAGGGTGTCACACCTTGAATTACATAACATTTTTCCCCTCAAAAGCGGACTAAAATCAAGGTTTGGGTATTAATACTAACATTGCTATATTCTCAAAAAAAAATTACATATTTTTATGGTATATCACACGTGCTACATTCCCTATCTAAATTTTTATGTTGGGGGTAATAGAGGGTTGATGGAGGAGTGCCATTTTAGTTCCCCCTTCCTATCATAAAGACGTTCATAAGGACCTTTCTACATTTAATTTTGTATGGTAGGCACTGATCTGAAAAAAATCTGAAATTGATTCATATACAATATACATCGATAATTTTCTGTGACGGGAAAAAAATTTGACATTTCATCTATCTTGACATGTGGAATGGATCTCAAATTTTCTAAAGAATCGAAAACAATAATTAGTTTTTTTAACAATAACCCAATAACTACCATTAATTCTGATTATTTAGATATATCTACTGGTGTTCCGCAGGGATCCATATTAGATCCGATTTTGTTTGTTTATAGTATATACTAATAATATTACTAACCACAGACATGATTATTACGTGGCATAAGCTGCCGATTTTTCTGTTTTAGTTTGAAATAATGATTCTGATGTTTTAAATATCTATAGCACCACATTAGTAAAAACCATTTCAAATTACTTTAATAGCCATGGCGTTTTGTCTCGAACTTTTTCCTTGGTATAATAAAAAATAACTATTATTTCTAAAAAAAATAAGTTGAAGAAAATTTTGCAGAAATATATACTTGAATGCCATTATTATTAATGCTAATTTTATTTATAAAGTATGGAAAAAAAAATAGTTAACAAGTTTGGCACAAAACGTTTGTGTAATGTCTGATAAAAAAAATCGAAAATATTCGTAATATTATTTACTAAAATTTCAAGTTTCAAGTAAAGAAAAAATAATGCGAGAATATACTTGAGATAAGGAAATAAGTGATTAAAGGTTTTGACACAGTAAACGAATGGTTTTAATAGTTCAAAGATAACGATTTTGATATATATTTTATAATAAATAAAAACATGCTTGTATACAGTGTGTTTCAAAAATATTATTTAGTTAAGAAAATCGGTGTCATTAGAAATAAGTAAGTACAGGACTGTTCCTTTTTTTAACTTTCCGATAAGAAAAGTATAGTTTCCGACGGATTTTTACGCAATCTACTCTCTAATGTTTTGGTCAGATTTTGGGTATAGTAGGAGTATCTTAGAGGGGTACTATATAAGGGGGTTGTTTTCCTACTTTATGGAATATCTGTTATTTACGATTGTAGAAAAAAATTCTTCAAATAAAAGTTGTTTGCGATATCATCTATAATTTTTGTTCCATACATGATTTCTCTAAAATGGACCGTAATGGAAAAATTTAAGAAAAAGTGTAAATTTAAAATTTTTCAGTATTTTCGTTGGCAATGAATATACAATATGTCTCACTGAGTTGAAACCATATGAAAAACTATCATTGGTTTTGTGAAAAAATGTATTAAAAATACAACCAACAAATATTATCAGTCGTATACGAGGTTTGTCAAAAATAAGATGCTTTATTCTTCAGCAAAAATTATATTTTTTGACAAACCCGTGTACGGCTTAAAAAATTGATATCAATCATATTTTTTTTTACAAAACCAATGATAAAACTTAGTATATAAAAAAATGTTTCAAGTAAGATGCGTGTGAAAAAAGTTTTGGACCATGCAGAACTTTTTATCAAGAATATTTTTTTTTACAAAACCAATGATAAAACCAAAGAGTACAAAATATAACTATAAAAGAGAAGTCACCCGCGGCATTTACAAAGGAAATCGCGCTTTAAATGCGGGCCGACAAGTCGGCGTTTTTTCAAAGAGTATAGAGCTAATTGGGCTATACCGGGGTTAAGCGGTAAGACGCGGCGGCGATGATAGTGGAATGTAACGGCCAATACACAGCGGAATCTAACGTAGCGGAGCAAATAAGCCTTACGCGTTGAACTACACCGGTACTCTGCCGATCGAGAAAGGACTGTGGAGGACTGGCGGCTGATCGCGTTAGAAGGTGGTAATTGGGCGAGTGACTCCTCTTTTATAGTTATATTTTGTACTCTTTGATAAAACTTAGTAAGACATAGTGTATATAAAACAATGTTTCAAGTAAGATGCGTGTGAAAAATGT